TTCCATTTCATTTTCCTGGAGAAGGGCCAGTGAATGGCTAAGCCTCAGAAGGGTGGACACCTACACTGCTTTAGACGGGAGGCAGGTGGTGACCTAGGACAACAAACCCTTGTCCCCCTATAAGCTGGACAGATGATCTGGTAGGTGTCAGAATGTATCCAGGTGTCAAAATTTTTAAAAAGTTAGAATGAAGCATTATGACAATATCCAGACAAAAACCATGATACAGCTAAAAGGGCCACATTCATACATAGATACTTAAGTATTTATTTCATTAAAACCTTCCAGAAAATATGTACTATAAATATTTTTTATTGTTGTGATCAATTCTTCTGCTTAAGCTTTTGATTTTTAAAAATTTTGTAATGATATTTTAGTGGGGAAATATGTTAATGTAGTCCCAGTCAACTACACGGATGGGCCTGAGAATGTTCCTAAGTGTTTTGGTACAAAGGAGTCTGCCACGATAGATTTTCCTGGCTCATGTCCGACTGGTTTCTGAAGCTCCCTCGTGAATAATTATTACAGTCTTTTTGCAAGAGAGTTGGATGGAACATTAGCAGATGTGAAATTCTTGGCTCATGACGGTGGGTGGACTCTGCCCAATCTAACCCAGGTTCTTTCTCTCTGGAAAATTACTGAGTCACATGATAAACAAATAAAGTAAAAAACAAATGTTTCAAAGTCCCCACCATTGTAGTTGCTCATTTCTGCAATGTGGTGGGACTGGGAATATCCACACATTTACTTGCCCTAAGGATCTCAGACCTAATTCTCTGTGGAAGGGGGTAGGGTCAGAGTGGGGGTTTAGCTGTCTCTGAGGGTAACATGCATTGTTGAATGGAGCAATCACCTGCTGATCCCCAAAGGCTTATTGACTCTTGGCCTTCCTCCCGGTCCCTTTTCAGAAATGGACATCACAGGTTCATACTCAGCCTTTGTTACTATTTTAAGTTGATTTGGATCATTTCCAGGCAAATTCTCAAAGCACTGGTATCTGTAATTACATTTTGCAAGAGGCATTGGGTGCAGCACATTTTACAGTCCAGCGTTGCAGGCAGTAGCTGTAACTTTGGGACACGTGGTTATTTCATTCCCTACAGTACCGACTCCTCACATTTGGCCTCCGTGAGGAAGTGTCAGACCTTCCAGCTCCAGCAACATTCCTGCTCCGCAGGGCTTGGCTCCAGGAAGCCCATTTCGCGTCTGCCGTGTGATGGTCCTGCCGATGTCAACAAATGATTCATCGTCAGCTCACAGGGAAAAACAGACTGTGTAGGAAGGTGCCATATGGTGATACATCCGGGGTTTTTTCTGCCTTCTACTGGGTAACCCTGACCTTATTATCACATGTTCAAGGTGGAAATGTGACGTAACTAAACTGATTTACAAAAGCCACATACAGAAACCAGTGTGACATTTTTAGCCTCGGTGTGGTTAAGGTTCACTTCCTCTGCATACTTACTGTACAGAGATGGCTTTTGAACGTGGCCTGGGGAGAGAGCCAGCTTCTGATACAAAGTTTATTTGCCGTTACTGCCCTGACTGCTTCTATAATTTATGCACCCCCCTCAGTTTTACCAAGGAAAGGCCTTTGTGGCCTCAATTAAATGCGAAGGTTGTGTCTCTCTGCATCCGTTGGCCGCTCCGATGTGAAAGCCAATGGGCAGGAGCAGAATAATGATTTGAAAACAGATTCAGAGAGGGCACAGGGATGGGACACACTGCAGCAGATTATTTTAGTTCCAGAATATCAGAGTGGAAAGTATCTTGATTCAGCGCAGCAAGTGGCTCAGAAAGGGACCTAAAAATGCATACACAGAGCGAGTATAAATTTGAATTGTATGAATATAACGCTAAAAGGCATCCTGGACATCTCAGGGTCAGTTTTCAGAAAGGGACCAAGGTGAGGCTAAGGAACCTTGAGGCCTGCTTTGCTTTCTTCCGCGGCTGTGGAAGGCCTGCCTGGTGAGATGCCGGCGTATTTCATAGATGTTACATCTGGAGAACAAGAAGCGGCTGCCCCTGGGCAGCTTGTGCAACACGCTAGCAACGTAATGAGGCTGATTCTAAAATTGCCAGTAATTAATTGGAGGCACTTGGCCCTGTTTCTGAACCTGCAAATTTTTCCAGGATAAAATTTCACGTTCCTTCACCTGGTGTTTTGAGGAGTCGCCAATAGAACAGATTGTCAAGCCCCTGGGAAATGTAAGCTGTTAATTGGCGTGGTGGGTGGGGCGCTGGAATCCGACAGGTGCATAGACCGGGGTTGACTCATGGAGAAGGTGGGATTCCACCTGGGAGGGAAGCTCATTTGGTGTCCCTCCAGCTGAGAAGGGCGGGTCACCAGATTGGTGGCTCCCAGCCTGACCAGGACCCACGGCTGTGTCAGTCATCTAAACCCCAGTACCATCTTGATGGCTTGCTTCTTAAATCTGGTCTGTGACAGCAATGGATGGACCTAAAGGGTGTTATGCTAAGTGAAATAAGTCAGAGAAAGACAAATGCCATATGATTTCACTTATATGTGGAATCTAATGAATAAACAAACAAAATAGAAACAGACTCATAGATACAGTGGGGAGGGGAGTTGGGAGGGCTGGGTGGAAAAGGTGAAGGGATTAAGAAGTACAAATTGGTAGTCACAAAATAGTCACAGAAATGTAAATTACACCTTAGAGAATATAGTCAATAATATAATAACTACTATGATGGGGCCAGGTGGGTACTGGAAATATCAGGGGAACCACTCTGTAAAGTACATGATTGTCTAACCACTACGCTGTACATCGGAAACTGATACAGAATAATACTGAATATAAACAGTAATTGAAAAAAACATGTGGTCTGTTCTGTTCCCTTCTCAGCCTGACCCTGTTCGTTAAGCACTAGTTAGCAGGCCCTTTTCTGTACTGATCTGTCTCTGCCACTACTTACCTAAATTCCACAGAGAAGGCCTGGAGATCTATGGGAAAAGCTCCTTTCATTCTGGGAGGGTCTGGCTGGAAGCACATGGCAGGGGAGCCCAGCCCCCACTCAGCACCAGTGAGGGCAGGTGGACCATGCCTGGGAGGGCTGGCAGTCTGCCACCCATCATCCCGATGCCAACATCAGTGGCCTTCAGAACCAACTTGCCATTTGGTCTCAGGTAGCAAAGAAAAAGCTCAAGTTATACACTGCAGTGTTTAATCTGTGCAGAGGGGCCTGGAAAGAGTGCGGAAGGCATGCATGTTTGCTTTATTTTCTATTTGATTGGGGAGATTTGGTGGGTTCATAGGGTTTCTACCGCTGTCCTTTGTAGAAGAAACATCACTCTTCAAAAATGCAGCAAAGCCAATGAAAAGATAAGGTCATCTGGTTATAAACCGAGTCTGCCAGTTGGCAAGTGGTGCTGGGGATGCTGCTCTCAGAGCTGCTTCTAGGCCCAGCTTTCCCCTCCCAGCCTGACACAGGGACTCTGAGCTGGTGAGAGGTGCAGCCCCCTGATGTGATCACTGCTCCCCTGAACCTTCCTTTTCTCTTCCTTCCTGGGGTGAGCCCCACCCCTCGAGAGCCCTGGCCGGGCTCCTTTCCCCACTGAGCTGTTACCCAGTGTCCAAGTTCCGGTTTTCACTCTGCCGGCCTCAGACGTTTTCAAGCACATTGTGTCTGCAGGGGAAGTGGAAGTTCCAGATGGAAAGCCACATGTAACCTCCTCAGTGTGCTCGCTCAGGGCACACGCTCCCCCTTGTTGGGTCCTGTAAGCTCTATAATATGCGTCACCCTGTCCCATGCCGGGTTTCACCAGACCCTCATGATAACCCCTCCTCCCACCGTTCAGCCGTGGGGGGCAGTCTTCCCCAAAGGAGAAGTGTTTTCTCTCTGCCATTACTTAGAAGTGCCACATACGGTGGTAATCAAAAGCAGGCCAATTAGTTGGTTTTCTTAGTATTTTTTTCAATTCTCTACAGACAATGCGCCACAGTTCCCATGACTCCCTGCTCCCCCTCAGCACACCACCAAGTGTAGCCAGTGATTCATGCTACCCGTCAGATCAGGTTGTTTCAAAATTATTTTTTCTTTTAAAATAAATAAATCTCACTTCCCACCACTTGGTTGCTAGATCCTGCCTTCCCCAGCTGCCTGCAGGCTCCTGTCAGTCAGACCAGAGGCAGTGAGGACCGAAACCCCCTCCCCATTAGGGAGTGGGGACTGGGGTCAGTCTGCTGCTGTCCCCACCCCCACTCAAGCACAGTGTGATGACCAGTCCACCACGGTGGCCTCTGCCCTGACCTTGGGTTTCTTCTGACCCTGAAATCCAGCCCTGAGTGTCAGGCAACTGGTACCCCAATCCCTGCCACCTACTTCCTCCCTGTCCCCAAGTCCTCTGTATCCTTGGTGACTGGTCTCTGCATCAATGTGGACAGAGCTCTCTAGAAAGGTGACACTGGCATCCCTGAAATGAAGAGCTAGCCTTGTCTGTATCCCCCACTGTGGTAAGTCCTCTCCTACACCAGCCTCCCCAGGCCAATCGAGGTCAATGCTACTCCCCAGGGCAGAGACGTGGAGGGAGGCACCCTCCAGCCCGGTTTCAGTGGTGTGCTGGTGAATGTCCACAACTGCTCCCTGGAAGAAAAGAGCCCTGCATCACGCTACCTGGTGGGAGCCCTCCCGCCATGGCCAACCCTCTCCAAGACGTCACCGAGTGCGGAGCTGCGGAGAGACGCACAGCAGCCAGGGCCATGTGGCACTTCCACTGGACTATGGAATATACGCAAATAACCTGGGCAGCGTGGAAACGTAAATCGTCAGGAAGTGATTAGTTTTAGGTGTTCATTAATTTTGCGTTTAGTATACTTTATTCCACTGGTAAGTTTATCTAGTGTAATGTTTACTGGTGGGCTGCGTTTGAGCTGGTTCTCTTGAGCCTGTCGGGCAGCTCCCGCATGCACTGCGGGTGTGTTTCTTGGGGCCTCTCCTCCCACCGCCGCCGGCAGCCTGCAGGACCTCAGGGCTCTCACCAGCCGGGGCCCTGGACTTCTGTGCTCCTGGCTGCTGCGTTTAATGTAGACGGGCCAGTCCTTATTCTGCTCGGCCTTCCGGGCCCACGACACCAGCTCCTTGAAACCCTCCAGCGTCATCCTTTCTTGCCATTATCTCTAACCCGTTCCTGGGGGCTCCTGCTCCTCTGCTGGCCCTTTAACTGATGTTTCCAGGATCCGACCACGCTTTCTTTTGATCTTCCACGCTCCTGACTCTGAAGGTGAATGCGGATGTCTTCCCAATCTATACCTTTGGCCCAGATCTCTCTTTTTTTACACAATAATTTTTAATTTTTAAATTACAGTTGACATACAATATCACGTTAGCTTCAGGTTTGCAACACAGTGATTAGACTTTATATAACTTAAGAAGTGATCATCCCAATAAATTTAGTACCCATCTGATACCGTAAATAGCTATTATTGACTGTGTTCCCTGTGCTGTAGCTTACGGCCCTGTGCCTGTTTTTATAACTAGCAATTTGTACATCTTAATCCCGTCCCCGTTTTCACCCCCTGCCCCTCCCACCTGGCAACCGTCACAGCAGTCTCTCTGTCTAGGAGTCTGTTCCTGTTTTGTTTGTTCATTTTGGTTTTTGGATTCCGCATATAAGTGAGATCATGCGGTGTTTGTCTTTCTCCATCTGACTTATTTCACTAGATCCATCCATGTTGTTGCAAATGGTAAGATTTCATTCTTTTTATGGCTGAGTCATATTCCATTGTATACATGCACCGCCTCGTCTTTATCTGTTTGTCCATCGATGGACACCTAGGTGCTTCCGTATCTGGCGATTGTGAATAATGCTGCAGTGAGCATTGGGATGCACAGCTCTTTCCAAATTAGTGTTTTGGGTTTCTTTGGATAAATACCGGCAAAGCCAGCAGATTTTTCTTTTGAACTTCAGGCTCTTATCTATAACTGCTGACCATCTCATAAGCATCCTATACTTAACAAGTACCATCATTCCAAACCCTCACCTGTTCTTTATTTATAGTCCTTACTCAGGCATCTGTGCTATCATTCATCCCATAAATACTTACTGACCAGCTACTACGTGCTGTGTGCTGACAATTCAGCACTGAATGAGCCACAGCCGTCCCAGCCCTCATGCAGCTTATTCAGAGGAAGTGGTGTCACCATCCGCCCGGTGACCCAAGCGGAGCCCCAGAATCACCCTTGATTCCTGCCTCGCCCACATTACTTAATTATAGTCATTTGGTTAGTAAATCTAATCTCTTCCACTTCCTAAACAAGTCTAGAGCCCTTCGTCTTCTTCCAGCCCCACTGTGACCGTCTCCTCAGGTCCTGTAATCTCTCCCCTGGATTGCGCAGGAGGCCCCTCACTGGTCCCCCCATCCAGAGGTTTTCTGCATTCTAGTCCATGGTACTGGTGTGATTATATTTCTGAAATCACATTTATCATATTACTAACTATCTGTATAAAATTTCCCCAAATACCTTCATAGTCTTCAGAACAAAAATCTATGCTCCTTGGTAGGATGTACAAGGCCAGGCCTTCCATGGGACGCGGCCCCCTGTCTACCTCGTTCTCTCCTTGTCACCATTCCACTCGGGACCTGTGCTCCAGCCACGGGGACCTTTCTCAGGCAGACCCTTTCCTCTGCCGGGGGTCCCTCCACCCTCCCACGCCACGCCCGCCCCCATTCCCTTCTTTGATCGCCTGCCCCTCCTACGCATCCTTCAAAACTCATTCTGATGCGGGTTCGCAAGTATGGCTGTGCAGTGGGCATTGCAAAACCAGGGAAGGGTGCCGCTCGAATCTGTCGTCACCAGGACCATTTTCTGGCACCTGATGGTAAAGTGGGCAGTGCCATTACGGCCACTGACAGGGCTGCTCCTGTCACTGCCTCCAGCAAGTGTTCCCGCCTCCCACTCGGCATTTGGTGACTCTTCTCGGTCACGGCCATGCCGTATCTCGCTGTAATCACCTGTGTATTGGTCCCCGTGCTTTTTTTGGAAAACAAGCCTTTAAAGGAGGTGACTGTGTCTTTTCTCTCTGTATCTATGACGACAAGGAGTGTGTAGGGCCCTGGTAAGTAAGTAGTCAATAAACCTTATTAAAGGAATGAATGAGGTCCCCAGGGCATGGACCCTGAGGGGATCCTGGTGCTGACTTTCCTCTGTAGTGCGGCCTGGGCACCTCCCTCCACAAAGCAGCTCCTTCATACAACAAGTGTGAAGCTTATGTGAGGAAAGCGGCCTTCAGGCACTGGGTCCGGGGCAGTAAATGACAACTATTATAATAATAGAATATTTTTAGGTGCTTCGGTGGCTTCTGTGTTGTGCTTCACAGCCCACGTTTCTGTACTCCCCTTCATCGGGTTGTTAATTATTCTCTTACTCTTCCTGATTTTTACTACAGAAGTGGCATGGTCCTGATGTTATAGATATTTTTAAACTGCTGGCTCTTGGGGCAGGGGTAGGGTGGGGTGTGGGGGTGCGAGTGGGCGTTGGGTGTAAAAGATGGACAGCTATTCTAAGATCTAGTGTAGCGATGTGTGAGGACACACACACACACACGACAGCTGAAATCCGAGGGAAACACTGCCAAGAACATCTGGATTATCTGGCCATTCCCAGCAGCTCCAGGGCCTGGAGCCTGGCCTCATCTGCATGTTGGCTCCTGTCATTCATTCCTGGCAGGCGGGTGCCCATTGCCCGCCCTCTGCCGGCGGCCGCCAGACCTTCTCGATGTGTTGGACTCTGTTGCCCCCTAGGGACCAGGCCCAATTCTCAGTGAATATTTCCTCGCTGGCTGGAGTAGCTCCTAACTTCATGCCGTGTTAGAAACTAGAGAAGCGACTCCTGTCCTCAAGATATGATGTCCACGTTCAAGGACCTAGAAACCTTAATAATCTTGGAAAAATGTAAACTGAAAATCGGAAGAACTCTCAGTGCAATGACAGGCGTTTCTGTGCCCAGTGGAATTGTATTTACGGGCAGCTTGCAGTTTACAGAGGAGGCGACGTACATTTTCCAAGTTAACCCTTTCAGCCACACTGGAGAGGCTGGCATTAATGAAATAAAACAGATATTTTGCTGGAAACTGACACTTGCTGTCATCAGATGTGACTGTGGGTAACTGTCCTGTCAGTCAGCTGATGCCGCGTCTCATCTCAAAGGTCACACTTGAAACGAAGTCTAGTTTCACAGGAAAACAAAAACAATGAATGTGACTCACCAGCGTTATCTTTCCGTAGCACCCGAGCTTTCCACCCGCCTCGCCAGCAGTATCTGAGATCGCAGCAGAGGGAGACAGATGCTATTACTGGAGAGACATCTTGCGGGTGATTTTCAATTTCTCTTGAGGCTGTGGTCCTAGAAATTATGAAAGGATATGTTTAGGAGGAAAAGCATTTATCTTTGTTTCTTTGTAGGAAGAGAAAGTCAAAGCCATTCTGAAATCATGTTTTTTTTAAAGATGCAAAACTTTTTTTTTATCCCCACCCGAGGATATTTTTCCATTGCTTTTCAGAGAGAGTGGGAGAGAGAGAGAGAAACATCGATGTGAGAGAAACAACATCAATTGGTTGCCTCCGCACGCCCCCCAACCAGGGCCGGGGATCAAGCTTGCAACCGAGGTACGTGCCCTCGGCCGGAATCGAACCCGGGACCCTCCTGTCCATGGGCCGTCGCTCTAACTACTGAGCCACACCAGCCAGGGCAAAAACAACTCTTTTCAAGCAACTGCTTTTAAATTCCTCACTTCTAAGCTTAAGTCACAGAGACATTGTCACATTACAGTCTATTTCAGTAAGTTAAATCGAATAGTGGGAAAAGGCCCCTTTTTCCTCCCTTTTAGTCTCTGAGGGGAAAAAAAAAGAAAACTCCGAACTTGTGCCAGGCTCTCAGCAGTCTCCGGGGCTGCACACATTCAGAGCCAGACGCCCGCAAACTCTGAGCTGGGGCTTTTCTCCCTCAGCTGCATTTTCTCCCCCATCAGGAAGGAGTTGGGGACTACGATTATTCCCGTTTCATGAATGAGAAAACCAAGGCCCACAGAAAGTAAGGATAGAGCTCAGGGCGAAGTCAGACTCTGGCCACACTCTGGCCCATCACCCTGAACTCGGCACCCTGCTGGCCGCGGAACGGGGGACGTCCACAGGCCGGTGCCTCTCCGCCCGATGTCTGCTCAGCATCAGTAGGTGAGGCCCCCGAGGTGGGAAATCTAACTAGACTCTAAAGGTGATCAAGTATATAAGTTCACTGCTTGACATGAATTCTCCTGTGAGTTTATTTAACCTCTCTGTACTCTAGACTCTCTATTTGTGAGGCTGTGACAAAGAGATTTTCCACTCCCCACTTCCTCAGGATATGAAAGATAGATGCGATAATGTATCTAAAAGCATTTTGCAATATTGAGAGGAAAAGTACTACAGAATGCCAGGCCACTGTTAATGTGATTTTAATAACTCCTTCCCACTCCTAGGATGTTGATAGTGTAATAGAACATCTTAATTTGTTGAAAATTTTCCATTCTGCTCCTTAAACTCTCAGGAGAAAAGGCTCCGTGAAAATGAAAATGAAAAATCAGAATTATCAGCTATTGGCCGAATATCCTTTAATGCCCAAGGTTTCACACTGGACAGAAGGCAACGTTGTGTTGAGTTAGGGGTGTCCTTATTTTTACATCGGTATTTGTAAAACATAAGTAAAGGATGGGCCCTTTTTTAAAGCAAAAATTTCTTACAGATATCTGATGTCAACGCAAATGATTTTTTAAATATGAACAAACTAAAACTAGGTACAGAGCCTTATACCGATAGGTCTAATATAGTTATAAAACTGAGATAAATTTACAAATTAGATAAAACCAAAATGGCAAAACCAATAAAAGTCGGACTAATAACATTAATTCAATCTGATGGATGATGTTGTTTTGTTGAAATAAAATAAGCTGTGTTTAACGACATAAAGAGGAAAATTCTTGCTCGGTTCTATGTTTAGAGTTTCAGTTCCAGCTTCAGGCCGTCTGGGTTAAAATCCCAGCTCTGTCCCTCACCAGCTGTGTGACTGTGGGCAAGTTAGCGAGCCTCTCTGAGGCAATAATAGCAGTCATCTCAAAGAGTTCAAG